CTCTCTCTCTCTCTCTCACACAACACACACACACACACACACACACACACACACACACACACACACACACACACACACACACACACATATATATATATATATATATATATATATATATATATATATATATATATATATATTATATATTATTTTATGTGTATATATCCCTAGAAATAAATCACACACACACACACAAATTCACCTCCCGCACACACACACGTACACACATAGCCACTCACCTCCCCCCTCCCCAACCACCCCACACACATTACACACCGTTACTCCCTCTTAAACCTATAGCCAAAGACCGTATAAAAAGTGAAAAAAAAATGATATAACAGGTCCTCCATCAAAGTCTATAGGCCTATATAATCGTATGAGTCAATGGCAGCACTTTGACGCGGCTGAGTGACGGTAGGCCTACATGCCCCTTGAGTAAGTCTTTGGAAATTCGAAGGCTGTATAATCGACAGTCTATAGGCCTATGTTGTGGAAAATTTAAAGGGGGGGGGGATGAATGTGTTAATTTGTGTGGGAAATCGAGTGAGGAGAGAGATCTTTGATGGGTAAATTATAAATATGTGTGTGTGTGTGTGTGTATGTATACATGTATGTATGTGTATGTATATGTATATGCATATGGATATGTATATATATACGTATATATATATATATATATATTTATATATATATATATATATATATGTATGTATATATATATAGATATAAATATACATATTTATTTCACACACACGCACACATGAACAGATCCAGGGACTTGCAGATACACGCACACACACACACACAACCCCCCCCCCCCCCCGAAATAGCAGAAAGACCTGAACAGCGCAGTTAAAAGCTAAATGAGATTAGATTCAAAGTTAAATCCTCTTCGCGTTTCGTGAATTTGTGGAATTTCGTTGTTGTTTTCCTGTGTTTTTGTTGTTCTTTATTGCCCTAATTAGTAATCAGTTAAGTAACTGATTATTCATTGATTGTTTTTTAATTCGTTCATTCATTTATATATGGTTGATAATCGGCTTTGGTGAGGTTGTAGACTAGTTGCATTTGCTTGTTTGTCTTTGTTGTTGTTGTTAGTGGTGTAGTTGTTGTCCTTGTTTGTTTGTTGTTATTATTTTAATAATAATGATAATGATAACATAGTAATGATGATAATAATAATAAAATAATAATGAAAGAAATTTCTAGATAATAATGATGAAAATAGTAATAATGATAATAATAATAATGATAATGATGACGATAGTTGTAGTACTGTAGTGGCAGTAATCGCAGCGGTGGTAATAGTAACTGTAGTAGCGTTAGTAGTAATAATAATAGAAGTAGTAGTAGTAATGGCCATAGTATTAGCAGTAGCAATAATAGTAGCAACAGCATCATCATCATTCATGTAGTAGTAGTAATGGCCATAGTATTAGCAGCAATCAAAGCATCAACATCATTCATGTAGTAGTAGTAATGGCCATAGTATTAGCAGCAATAATATTATTAGCAACAGCATCAACATCATTCATGTAGTAGTAGTAATGGCCATAGTATTAGCAGCAATAATATTATTAGCAACAGCATCAAACATCATTCATGTAGTAGTAGTAATGGCCATAGTATTAGCAGCAATAATATTATTAGCAACAGCATCAACATCATTCATGTAGTAGTAGTAATGGCCATAGTATTAGCAGCAATAATATTATTAGCAACAGCATCAACATCATTCATGTAGTAGTAGTAAGGCCATAGTATTAGCAGCAATAATATTATTAGCAACAGCATCAGTAGTAGTAGTAATATAGTATTAGCAGCAATATATTATTAGCAACAGCATCAACAACATTCATGTAGTAGTAGTAATGGCCATAGTATTAGCAGTAGTAATATTAGCAGCAACACGAACATCATTTATAACACTACCTATGCACATCACATTCCCGACAGCAGCGCTAACCAACGGCAATATCGAGCGAAATAACGCTACTTCTAAACCACAAATTCACCCCCTAACCAGCCAGTGTCCAGGGGGGGGGGGAGCTATTAAGATTCCTTCGGTCCATCATTACGTCTGTTTTTGTCGCTGTTCGGGGGAGGGGGGCGCCCTGGGACCTCTTAACTGTGTTGGGGAGTTTGTGGGAAATCGAGGAGCGGGATGGCACACTTCGCACGGGGGGGGAGGGGGGAGGGAAGGGTGGAGGGAGGGGGATAGAGGAGGGTATGGGAGGGGAGGGTGGAGGAGTGATGGGTGGAGGGAGGAGGAGAGGTGGAGGACAGAGGGAGGAGGGGTGGAAGATAGATGGGGTAGGGAGGAGGGGTGGAGGATAGAGGAGGGAGGTATGGGAGGGTGGAGGGAGTGATGGGAAGGGAGGGAGGATAGAGAGGAGGAAAGGGTAGGGAGGGAAGGAGGGTAGGTGAAGGGGAGGGAAAGGTAGGGAGGGTAGGGGAGAGGATAGAAGGGAGGGAAGGGTAGAGAGGAAGGTTAGGGAGGCTGGGGGGAGTGAGGAGGGCAGGGGAGGGGAGAAAAAGGGACGAAGGGAAAGGAGAGTAACGGATAGGAGGAGGAAGAAGAGGAAGGGTGGGTGGCGAAAGAAAAAAAACGACAAAGAAAGGTAAAAGAAAGTAATAATATAATAATAATAAATAAAACAGATAGAAAAGAGGGAAAAAAGAGAAAATAAAGAAAGGAATGAGAGTGCAAAGGAAGAGTGAAGAAGAACGAAATAGGAGGAAAAGAAATAAAGGAAGAGAGCAGAAGGAAAGAAAGTAAAACAGAAATGGAAAGAAAGACCGAGAAGAAGAAGGAAGATGAAAAACGATCAAGAAAAAAAAGATAAAAGAGAGAAAAGATGGAGAAAAAAGAAAAAGTAAGAAAGACCAACAAACGAACAAAAACAAACACAAACAAACACAAAAACAAACACACAGACAGACAGACACGAGAAAAATTATTAACTACCAATTTATCTCGACGTATACATGTCTCTCGTGCACACACTCTCAGCCCACGAAACCGCACTCAGTTCACACACTCACACGCAAATACACAATTTTCCTAATGTGTGTATTTTCTTTTTTTTTTTGGGGGGGGGAGGTTGTGCTTATGGAACTGCCATGGAAGGGAGGTTAAGAGGTGAGAGAGAAGGAGAGAAAGCGGGAGAGAGGGGAAAGGGAGATAAAGGGAGGGGAGAGGGAGAATGAGAGATTTTTTGTAAAATGTGAGAAAGGGAGAAAAAGAGAGATGGTGAGAGAGAGAAAGAGGGATTGAGAAAGAGAGCAAGGGAGAGAGAGAGAGAGAGAGAGAGAGAGAGAGAGAGAGAGAGAGAGAGAGAGAGGAGAGAGAGAGAGAGAGAAGAGAGAGAGAGAGAAAGAAAAGAGAAGAGAGAACAAGAGCAAGAGAAGAGAGAGAGAGAAAAAGAGAGAATAGAGAGAAGAGAAGAGAGAGGAAATAAGAGAGAGAGAGAGAGAGAAAGGAGAGCATCGTTTCCAGCCGGGCGACAGCGACAGCCCGGCCGGGGGAGGTGAGTCGCCTCCGGACCACCTGAGGCTCAGTCCGCGTTCGAGACTCACTTCGCTCGGACCTTCGACGCGGGAGAGGAGACCGGGCGAGAGACAGAGAGAAGAGGAGGGAGGAGAGGGCGAGAGAAGAGGAGAGGAGAGAGGAGAACGAGTGAGAGGGATAGAGAGAAGGAGGACGAGTGGAGAAGGGATAGAGAGAGAGACGAGGGAGAGACAAAGAGAGAGAAGGAAGGACGAGTGAGAGAAGGAGGAAGAGAAGAAGAACAGAGAGAGAAAAAAGAGAGAGATAGAGATAGAGAGGAGAAAAAAGAGTGTGTTAGAGAGAGTAGCAAAGTGAATGACAGAGGAAGTGGAAAGATAATCAGATTGCGACGAAGAAAAGAAAGAGAATAATAAACAGTGGGAAACAGCAACAGAGGAAGAGCAAAGAAAACCAGTGCTACTGAGACGAAGAAAGAGGAAGGAGAATAAGGAATAAGAAACTTAGTGACCGAGGGAGAGAAGAAACAACTGGGAGAAATTAAGAAAGAGACAAAATAGGAGAAAACGGGAATCATTAAGAAAAACACAATACAACAGGTGACAGGGAGAAACTGAGACCGAAAAAAGAGAGAAAAGAGGAAATTAAGAAGAGATAGCGAGAGAGAAAAAAGAAGAGAAAGTAAGACAGAAAAAAAGAAAGAGAAAATAAAAAGAGTGAGTGAGACAGAAAAGAAGAGAGAGAGAGAGAAAGAAAAGATAAATGGAAAGATAGAAAACACACAGAATGAGAAGGAAATTAAAAGAAATTTGAAAAGATATTCCAAGATGTTGTGTTTCATCTCAGGCCAATAGAATCGTAAAAAAAAGTCCCCCGTTTTGTTATGGTTACCCCTTGAAGATCCGAAAAGAAAACGGGATTTGAAGTCCAGTAATAAAATGTGAAGTACTTTATAGACATGAAATCCGCTTTTCAAATTAGACAGCATTAAAAAGAAGTATTTAAATATATAAGATTTTGTTACTTTCCAAATTTGCTTTAAGATCAGTGTGCAAAATAACCACGTGTTTTAAGGCTGAAACTGCAACATACTCCGGTAAAAAAGAAATAAAAAAGAGTTGTTTTTTAATCTAACGTCTTATAAAACGGATAAGAAATACAGAGAAGTCTCTCGTTAAAAAAAAATGTGAATTTGCATTTTACGAAATAGTAATGGAGAAGAGAACGCGCCGACATTTCGAGATGGTACAAAATGATCACCATTTTTTTAGAATGATTAGAGAATTGAATTAAATAGAAAACAGAGATATCGAGAGATGAAGTAGAAAAAGAGAAAAAATCAGAAAAGGACAAACTCGAAACGCACAAAAAATATCAAAATTGGAACCATCAAACGAAATTAAAATAACAACAATAAGAATAAGAATAAGAATAATAAGAATAAGAAGATACACATATTTTCAAAATTAACGAGAAAAAAAAAAAACACTAT